AAGTATGTAAAAGTTTATGTATTATTATTAAAAGATGTGAAGTCACCTACAACTTTTTTAAACTATTTTGGCAAGAAAACATGTTCAAAAATAAACTCTGTTGTAAAGAAAACATGTTTAAAAATATTTAAATTTAATATGTATATATATACGTGTATATGTATATATAGAATAAAATATGACATGATAAAATATTTTTAACATTATAAATTTTTGAGAGAAAATTTACCACTTATATATAAAATAAATAATAAAATTATACCGAGAATTATGACGGTATTTCTAATTATTTTTGTATACGTTGTTGCCGTTAATAAAAAATTGTACGCATCACAATTCTACGCTTTATGTAGATTTATTAGTTTTACAAATACAAATCAAGATTAATTTAAAATGTAACTAATAAAATGGAATTTTATATATAAGTGATATTAATACAAAAATTGAAGACAATATTTAAATCTGCATTTTTTTTATTAACTTTTTATCATGTGCATTTAATATTTTTGGGGGAGAAATATGTGATAAATCTTATTCTCGTTAAAAAAAATTATGTTACATAATTTTGTTAAAAAAATATGTTAGAGTAGATACCTAAGAGATGAGATTTTTTAAATTTACTGAGCGATGGTATTCTGTAAAATTACCATGAGATTTTTTAGGCTGGTATACATTAATGGGTTTTTTTGTACAGTCTTTAATATGTATGGAACCAAAAGCCGATATTTATGCAATGGGATTCTGTAAAATTACCTTGAGATTTTTTAGGCGGGTGTACGTTAATGAGTTTTTTTTGTACGATCTTTAATGGTGCATAGAACAAAAGCCAATATTTTAGGCTTTTTAATTAATGATAGAAACTTATAAATATGATGAACATATTATAAATATGATGAAGAGAATGTATGACAACCGAATAAAAAAAAATTACAGCTTGCGTAGACATTCTGGGATAGAAGAATGGAATATATAGATTACAGAATGAATAAAATATATTGTTTGATTTGGATGAGTTTTAAAGACTTTGAAGAAAGGAAACTCTTATTTAGTCTGACTGAAGATCTCTCCTCAATTCACACGTGTTTTTTTGTAAATTATGGTATAAATTATGTATTTAACTTTTTTTTTAAAAAAAAATTAATCATCTTTTAATAAAAAATTATATATTTTTAAATAAAAAATTGAAAAAAATATGTATAACCGATTGGAAGATTAAATTGTTATAGCTTTTTTTTTAAATCTATCGTGATTTCACATTGTTTGGAAGATTCAACTTACTTAAAATCATAGTTGATAGTATTATTTTTCAGATTTTTTGTAAGATAGAAATTAAAATATATCCGGTTGGACGATATTGTTGCCTTTTGAACAGTAAGTCAATAAGAATTCCTATTTTAAACTCTTTGGCATAATATTCGCAACAACAATTAAAGAGCTATAATTAAGAAAACCAAGTTGCAACCGATTTTGAAACTATTTTTATGGAACCAACAATTAAAGAGCCGTTTTTTTTTTTATATTCACAATTACCCAGAAATTACTATATATAGGATATAATTAATGATTTGGCGGGAAAAACTTGCTAAATTTATAAAATGGTAATTCTTTTTATATATATATATAGATTACTGATGGCTAGATAATAAATTAAAATACATTAATTATTCTTTAAAATTTTGGCATGTTATTTATTTGTATCTATACTTATTATATATGGTCAGTAATGCTCCCCTACCCACGGTGGGCACATGTTAATATGTCCACCGCTTATGTGGCATGCACACATTGGTGATGTATTATTTTGAATATATTAACATCACCAATGTGTGCATGTCACCTAAGTGGTGGACATATTAACATGTGCCCACCGTGGGTATGGGAGCATTACTCTATATATGGTATCCTATTTAACAAATTTAGTAGATTGAAAAGGCAACGCAATTAATGCATTGCTATTTCTATCCAAAATTTTATTTAATTATTTAATTTATTTGTCTTATATCCCATAAAATCAGTTTAAGAAAAAAAAAATCCCATAACATCTGACAAGTAAAAAAAAAAAGACAAGTAAAAAAAAGACGTAAAATCTTTACTAAAATAAAAAAGACTTTATTTATTTGTCTTATTCCATATTAACATCGATTTTTTCAAAATAAATCCCATAAAATCAGTGAAGTGAAAATTTGTACGTAAAGTCTATCTATCCAAAAAAAAAGTCAGATTCAAAATTCCTTATCTAATTTTTTTTTTCTTACCTAATTCATTCTTTTTTCTTATCTAATTTATTTTTATTATCTAATTGTATGAAAATCTATTCTGATTTTGTTCAATCTTCTAAGTGTATTTGTATTATATTCCATAAAATCGGTTTAACAAAAAAAATCTCATAACATCCGATAAGTAAAAAAACAAAGTACGTAATATCTTTACAAAAATAAAAAAGCTTATTTATTATCTAATTTATTATCTAATTGTATGGAAATTTGTTCTGATTTTATGGTACGTACTACAAATTACCCGTGTTCAAGAGCTACTTAACGGGCAAGTTCTGCGGAAATGACTCATTTAGTGTTTCTGTCCCGTGCATACGGTATGTATTTTTATTACACATACTAGAAAATTGTGCACCACGTGGACCGCACGGACTCTGTACTAATAAATGACCTTAAAATTATGCACCTTGTGCATCACTTGTGTTCACATTTTTTGCCTATTACAAGTCATGTACTATATATATCCCGTACATTTTTTTTATTTATTTATATAATTATAAAAATGGATAAATGACCTTAAAATTGTACACCCCATGCATCGCACGGGCTCTGTACTAGTAGAATGTAAATGGGAAACGTTTTTAAATGAATAAAAGATTTTACACGGACATTAAACCATTTAATGCAGTCACATTTAATGCAGTCATATTGTAACAGATAAGTTAGCTATTAATAGAAATAATTGAATGACTAAAAGAATTGAAATAATGACACCTCTTATCTATTTGCTTAGAGAGTTTATATAATTGCTCCCTCTTATTATTTAGATGTAATTGCCTTTTCTGTTTTCAATTATACTCCTTTTGTGGACTCTTTTATGTTTTAAAAAATCTGGCTTTTTTACTTTTTAATAACCGCAGAACGTTTTATCCTCCTCATATATATATCTCTTCTTCTTTCTCATAACCTACCTACCCCTTTTTAATTCCATCTTCTCCTATATTTTTTCTTTTAAGATTTATCACTTAATTTTTTTAAGGTTTAATTTCATCGAATTTTTTTTTCATCCCAAATATTTTCTCCAAAATCCACATTCCAAATATTTGGAGAGAAGTAGATCCATCGTCACGGTCCCCCGCTTTCTTCGACCACCTCCTTCAGGACATGTGCCGCCGGCAAATTCCGACTGTGAATGCTTCGGCCACGCCTAATTTCAAAGTGTGAAGATGCTGATGATGATTATGATGAGATTTCCCCCAATTCACATGCTTGAGAAAGAGGTTTTTGTTTTAATTTCATTAGCCACACAAGTTTTAATAATTTCTTAAAATTGACATTGAAATGGAAATGAAGATGACTAGATCAATCAATGAAATTGAAATCTTTTTTGTTTTTCATCTCCAACAACGAAAAAGAGTTTATAGATGTTATCTTATTTTTAGTATTTTGAATCAAGCAATAAAAAATAACAATAACTAATATTATCATAACAATGTGAAATTGTAACTGGGTAATAATTTTTTACATATTGCTTGACTGTTGTTTTCTTGTTGCTTAACTGTTATTATTTTATTGCTTTGTCGTTACATCGAAGATTTTTTATTTCTTCGTATTCATCTAATTTCTTGAATGAAAATAATCTGTATGTATGTATTCTATTTTATAATTATTATTTGTTTATTTAATTTTTACAAATTTTTCTTGCTTTTTAGTTAATTTATTTGTTATGTGTATATATATGATCAATTAATTTTTTTTTTTCAGGAGAAGATAAAGATGATGAATAAAAGGAAAGAAGAGAGAGAAAAGAATGAAACGAGATGTAAGAGTGAGAAATAAGAGAGAGAAAGAGAAAGAGAGCAGTTGAATTTTGAAATGATGTAACTTCTTATTCAAGCATTTTTGGAATTCAGTATAGCCTGTTCCTTTTATGAAATTGTTGTTTATAACTTGTGTAGTTATGTATTTTTCCCATTAATAATTCTACACTAGTA